ATTAAGGTGTCATAAAAAAGTTTCGTGCAACTACAGTAACCTACGTAAGATCACGTATGTCAGTTATGATTAGAGCGCTGCGTTTAGATTCCACGATTGGCAATGGGTCAAGCTTGTCTAATTGTTAACGACTTCCAACGGAAGATCTTTCTCAAAACAGAAGACAAACTTAATATTCAAGTGGAAATTAAAATTTTGATATAAAACATTGAAAAAAGTACCAAATTCCATCAAGTTAGAGCCAAGTTACAGCTTTCACCAGGAAGAGAACGACCGGGTCAATTTTTTTTTTCAAGGAAAAATTTTTTTCACGTGGCGCGCACTCACGAAAGTATATAAGCCGTCAAGCGTCCGAGTCACGTCAGTTGGCGGTGTGAGCTGATAGGCTCCACTCCTCTCTCTCTGGAGGTTCTCCAGGGAGAAAGGGGAAAAGCTCATCAGCCTACATGCCTTGGGTTTGACCTGGAGAAATCTTGGTCTAGCCTGAAGCGCACCGGAAGGTTGCATTCGAATCCAAACCGTCCAGAGCGGTTGCATTCCAACTCAAACCGTCCAGAGCGGTTGCATTTTAACTCAAACCTTCCAGAACGGTTGCATTTTAACTCAAACCTTCCAGAACGGTTGTAAGGCATTACGAATCAAGTTCAAGTTCAGAGGGAGTCAGCTAGTCGTGGTATATCTGAAATGAACCCGTTGCTGTTGTTAGCCGGTTGGCTCTAATGGAGTCTGCCTCAAACGTCGCTTACCTCTGAGGGAAAGGATGATCTCTGAGACGATCGTGATTAGAAACCAAATTCATAGAAAACAATTACTGAAAACCATTAAAAAACTGGCTCCACATGTTGTAACCCATTCTCATATGTTTACTGTAGTCTCAATATTTCAATTCTCTACCTCACATGTCGTGTTAAGTTAGTATACAAATATCATTTTCATCCAAAATATAAAATTTTTTATTAAATCATTAAATCTTTTATTATGCTTATGATAACTAGAATTCGTTGTGTTGGTGAGGTTTATACTTTTTTAGTTCATAAGTCGTCTTGGGAGCATAGTTTGTAATATCTTTGTAACAATTGCAAACATTTGACCAACAACAGCTGAAAATGTTTAAAATTAGATTTGATAAAGTAAAAGGAGTCAATGATAGATGAGTTCCTATTATTCATGGAAGATTGAACTCTCTGAATATTACGCAATGAAGTATCTTCGATATCAGCTGTTATGTGATATGCTAATCTCCAGCTTATATTACATCTTTCTTCTTTAAGAATTATACCTTAAATTTAAACTCAAAGACGCATTGAAACCACACGATGGCATGCGAAAGTTCAAACTTTACACTTCACTTCCTATGCAAATTGCAAGAGAAGAAGAGTTTATTCTTAAAACTAAAAAGATTGTGGTTCACGGAAATATTATACGCCGTCATGTGCTACTTTCTTGTCACAAAAAGAAAGTTTCTATTTCGCTTCCGAGTCTAGACTTCTGTCAGGAAGAGAGACAAGCTTGAGAATTATCAAAGAAGAAGAAAAATCTAGCGAATGACTCACCCAGTTTGATGGATTGACTAAAGATAGACCGCATGGCTTTTCTTTCATATCTTCTCTTCATCACCATTTTTCATTTTTCTCCAATCAAATAATTAATTTTGAAACATTCTGTGATGACCATCAAAAAATGTTAAAACAAGGTTCCTGTTTTTCAGGCGAACAGCCTCGAAGAGTTTCTGAGGTTTGCCACTACACGTATGGGTAGCTGATAGCTTAAAGATGATTCTGCTGTTCTGATATTATACGTCTCCCCACAGAGTTGTAATAATATTGAAACATTGATTCTAGAAACGCTTGTAGACAAGCCCTCAGGCTAGCGGCCGGTCGGTCCAACCCCCCGCCTCTCATCAGTCTAAGCTATTGCGAGGACGACATGCGCACCACCGTAATTCTTCTGCTCCTAGCAGGGCTTGCATATTCAGGTAAGAATGTTTCAAAAGCTTCTCGAAAATTGTAACTAAATAATTCATTTTCACTGTAATTCTCATATGATAGTCGTCAATGTCAGTTTAAAATTGAAAAAACAGACTAAGACTTGTTTTGTCAATGATCACAACGACAAAAACACGAAAAAGGCTTGATATTGATGAAATCATTTATAGCCCGAATCACTATCTCACGCGGAAAGAAAGATGCCAAGTTGGATAACTTGTGTGCTAGAATGCACAACAACACAGCTCTTGAAGGCGTTGATCCTTTGGAGATGATGCAGGTAACAAGTTAAGCTTTTAACCTAAGCACAAATCGGTTTAAGGCAACAGCTTTCGAATGCCAAAAGAAATGCGTCGATTTGTTCCCATCCTGTTCTGCCGGTAAGTTTTGAGAGGAGAGTTAGAAAACTCAAAAGGCTCAAACTTTTTTCAACAATCTGAAACTAATGGCAGTTGTCCAAATTTTTGCACAAATTTTTCAGTTGTTATCTTCATATATCTTCTTATCTCTCATTTTCTGCTTTTTGGCTGTCCAAGATAATTTGAGTGATTGCGTCTTCCGTTACGCATCCAAATTACAGCACGAATTGATGATTGGCATATGAAATGCTGAATCAAGAGAAATATTTTCTTTTAAACCGAATGCAATACAATGCCTTAAATGGCATTTGCTTCTAGCTCAAAACTGGCACCCATTTCTTGCCTCCTTCATAGTAACCAGGTTATAGGTTTACTGCGGGAAAAAAAGTTCTTGGTTGTCACATGAAGGTTGCTTGCTATGACATACTAATGAGAAACATCTGCTCTCACGCGGAGAACTCTACAAACTCTTTTTTCAGTCGTATATTACTATCTTCACAATGAAACCGATCACCATTTCTGCTACCTGTTCGAAAAAAATTCTGTTCACGAGAAAGTTTATTTTGTTTTTTTGAGCAATTCTCATTTTCCTAAATAGGTTGATTTGATTGAACAAAAAGCTGATTCCAAGAAGGATATCGTTCGTATGCTTGAAATTGTTCATGACTGTCAGCAGTTCGATGCTCATCCACCACTCCAAGAGGATGGTCTTGCTTCTTCCACTGATAAAGTCGACAGAAAGAAGAGACGTAAGCTGAATTTCAATCTTTAAAACCATATCTGAGTTTTCTAGAGAACGGACATGATTCTTACAAGCAGCATTTTGGTGAATGGACTGACTGGTCTGACTGCGGCAGCACAGGTTTGTCTGATATTCATACTTTTATAACCCGGAAGTGGTTTAGTTGGCCACGCTGTTAGATCTCAATCCTGTGATTATGGACGGCGAATCCAGCGTCGAGGATGTCCAGCTCGCAACTTCAACCGGGCTCCAGCACCACCTGCCCCTCTTCCAAGAGCTCAAGATCCTCGCTATCTTCAGCAACTTCAACAGCAACGAGATCAACATCAACAATTGATTCAACAGCAACAACAACAACAACAACAGCAACAACAACAGCAACAACAATTGCAACAACAGCAACAACCTCAACAACCTCAACAACCTCAGCAACCTCAACAACTGCAAAGATCACCCTATGATGAGTATGCTCAGCTCTACCAACAAAGGTATGGTCAGTCAGCTTTTTCTATAACCTGACTTCTTACAGAATGGCTCATTACCGTGAAAACCAGAGAAGCCCCGCTCGTCAAGTAGCTGAACCTTGCTCAGGAAGCCGTTGTGAAATTCGTCACTATCCTCAACCTCACCCTCAACCACAACCACAGGCACCTCCAGCACCCCCAACTCCTCAAGCTCCTGCTCCTCATCACAGCAATGGATACCGACCAGCTCCTCCACCACCACCAGTTTGTAACGGAGGAGCATGTGAACCAGTTCAACAAGCTCCTGGCAGTTGGTACGATTGGTCTGAGTGGTCAGCATGTTCATGCACTTGCGGTGATGGAGTTAAGCAACGTCGTCGTGAGTGTGCTACATCCAACTGTCAAGGACCTGAATATGAACAAGCTCCATGCACTATGGGACCATGTCAAACATGGTCAGAATGGTGCGAGTGGTCTACTTGCTCCGCTTCTTGCGGACTTGGACAGAGACAAAGAACAAGATTCTGTCATCTTGGAACAAATAGATGCGAAGGAAGTGATTTCGAAGTAAGTTAGTCTGTGTTGAAAAAACTAAAACAAACTTCAGAGTGATACTTGCAATGCTGGCCCATGCCCAGAATGGAGTCAATGGGAAGATTGGGGACAGTGTTCTGCTACCTGCGGTCACGGAGTTGCTACTCGTCAACGAACCTGCCTTGGAGGACAAGACTGCGCAGGTAAATATCATGAATTCAATTATAAATAGACATTTCATCATTGCATTCCATCATTTTTTAAGGCCAAACTATTGAACAACGCGGATGCCAAGAAAGACCATGCTCTGATTGGGCTAGTTGGGAAGAATGGGGAACTTGTTCAGTATCATGTGGATCAGGAATTAGAAGACGCCTTCGCGTTTGCCAGTATGGCACAGATTGTGCTGGACCAAACGAAGTGAACATGATGTTAAAATGGATTCAATATATTAGAAGTTTAGGAAAGTCAAGCTTGTCATAACGCGCCTTGTGCTTCTTGGACTGAGTGGTGCGAATGGTCTGGTTGCAGCACTAAGTGTGGACCAGGACAAAGAACTCGTACTAGAGGTTGCCTGAACTCTGATGGAACCGAAAGTCATGTCTGCCAAGGACCTAGTGTTGTAAGCTGAAAATCTATGTACAAATCATTAATAATTACGTTGAAGGAAACATTACTATGCGAAGGAACAAACTGTTGTAGATGGTCTGAGTGGTGTGGATGGTCCATGTGTGATAAGGAATGTGGTGGTGGACAAAGTATTCGCACAAGAACATGCAGCAGAGATGGCTATGGAGGTGAGTAACTCCATTCTCAACTGTAAATTAGAAACTGTTCCAGCTGCCGATGATGCCTGTGTCTGTGAAGGATCTGATCGTGAGTCTAAGACTTGCAACACCCAAACATGCAGTCCACAATGCTCATGGACTCAATGGTGTGAATGGAGCGGATGCAGCACTCAGAAGAGCTGCGAAGTTGGAGTCCAACTCAGGTATACCATCAAAACTGATATCGATACAATAGTTTTGCTCAGATCCCGCCAATGCATCGGAGAATTAGGTTGCAATTGCTTCGGTCCAGCTGAAGAGTCTCAGCAGTGCAGAGGAACTCAGCCATGTCCCCAAGAACCTCCTTGCTAAATAAGTAATAAGCTTGTACACACCTTATATAGAACTAATAACTTTTAATATAATATCATTTATAATATAAACGCTAAGATCATGGCCATATTCGGAAGTCAAAAATTCAAAATTAGGTTCTACATTCTCACTGTTAAGGTTTTCGTTAAATCATTTCTTACTAATATTCTGGAGACCGACGGTTAATTTGCTTCCTAAACTTATTGAATCATACACAAACTGTTCTGGCTTCACACTTCCTACTCGTATCTTGTATATTCCTAATAGATTTTTAATAAATATTAAGACTTTTACTTTTTCACATAACCGCATGACTGATATTAAATCAAACAGCTCCGCTTGCATACATCAAATGGCTTCATTACTAGGCTTTCTTCTACACACCCCATCTTATCCGTCTTTTGAATTTGTTTGAACTCTAGCGAGTATAATTGCTTATAATGCGACCAGCTTATATGCCTTCAGAACAGTTGGAATGAATTCTTAATAGAACTTCAAATAAAGTTTAATTGAGATTGACGAATATTGAATCGCTTGAGATCTGATAAATATCTGAAGCAGCCACACACGGAACGGAGAGCCCAAAGTTGAAAAAACAATTGCAGAAAAAGAATCACCGCTGTTGCCAGGGACATTCTGACTGAAGGCGAATTGAAAAAGAAAAAATACAGAAAAGCCTACGATAATCTTGTTCTGTTGATTTCTTGTCTATAGGGACAAATATCTGAAGGATGAACTTGGTACGACAAACAACTGCTATGGAGATCATGACGATTGCAATGGCTGTGGCAAAAACAAAGAAAATCTAAGAATGTTTGCAGATGAAGGAAGATCAAGCTTTTGTCACCTGCAAGGCGATGAATGGAAAGATTAACCTAGCTTTCTTCTGCATGATTCCAATATAGAGATACAACAGAATAACAATTATTAAAATAAGTGGTAATATGTAAAGTTTCATAGCAGGTTTTTCAAGCTGTAAGAACATATGAGAATTGCTTGTAGACCAGAAGATACCTCTTGTGATGTATAAACACAGTAGATCAATGCTGAACAAACAATTGCTAACGTAATCATACCGACTCCACAAGTTGCCAGCTAAGTTAGTCCTATGCAATCAAAAAAGAACAACAAAGTTTACCTTAACATGTAATGATCCAAAACAAGTGAAATAGGTTTGATGACCATGGTTGAAGACACGCACACTGTTTGTACTTCGATTGCTCTTTGAGCTCTATAATAGAACTAAAGTAATAAATAAGAAAATAATGACAAAAGAACCTTTATACTTTGTAAACTACGAGCAGATCTTATGCCACTTCTTCCACTTTTACGAATTTCTTTTAACGTCAATGTTGGAGACTTTGGAGCATTTTCTGCTGTCTCCATTATACCTGACTAAAACTAAAGAAACTTCAATGAAAAAAGAATATTCAGAAAATATATAATTGATAAAAAGAAGATTCAATAGTGAGAGAGAGAGACTTTTGCTTAAACTTCAGATATGAGTTAAACTTTGAGATGGGAAAACAAGAGATAGGAAGTCGCCTTCCAGCCTTCTTCCTGCCTATAAATGGACATAAATATCATATAAGCAGGAGGAATATGCATGAGGTAGTAATCCGAATATGGAAATCGATAAGATTAGTGGAGATTCTTGTCAAAAACGGGAAGCTTTATCCGGTTTTCAAAAATTAAGTTCCCTCAAATACAACCAAAACCTCACTGATTATAAGGAAAAAAAAATTTTATTCTCTTCGGAAATTTTTCAGTGAAAGAACTGTTGTTGGTATCTTTTCTTTCAAAAAAAATTTCATTTTTATCATTTTTCTTTGATTTTTTATGGAATTTACAAGACTGTTGCAGATGACATGCCTCTGCTATCTCTCGCCGAACAAAATTTTAAAGGACTCGCTTTATTGACTCCCGCCACGATTTCAAAGACTGCACGTCTTTCCTAAATTTTTCATATCAAGTTCATTCAAAGAAAAGTATGTTTATAAGTTGTTTGCTCTGGTTTTTTCACCCTGCAAGAGTATCAACCATGAATGCCTATTTCCTCTAAGAAAAACAGTTTCTTTCTCATGATTTTTGACTACTATCACGCGTTCATTTACCAATTGTTCATGTGTAAGATTTGATAGTTAATTTGTTTCTCTTCTAGGTAATAATCATGTCCGTTGAAAGTCTTCTTTCCGAGGTTACTAACATTCTTGGCTCTCGTCTTGCCGTTAAGGCTGCCGATCAAGCCTTCTTTGGAGGAAAGCAAGTCTACACTGGAGTTAGCTCTGCTGTTGGCGCTGGATCTTCCGCTGCCGTCGGTAAAAATTATTATTTTGACATCCTCCGTGAGGAAAGAGAGACATTTTTAGAAAATGCTTCTGGTAGTTCTGATCCGCTTCAGTCTGCTATTGAAAATGCGCAGAAGACCGTAAAGAAAGCGCTTGCTGGACAAGCTGTAGGATCCAATGGTTAATACTAGCCCTTTTCCTTTTTTGGTTGCGCTTTCGTTTTTGTTAGAATAGTTTAACAGTGCGTGTTGCTTGTTGTGTGATGAGTGGCTTCTTTCAAAACAGTGTTTTGTATCTTTCTTATTCATTATTTTAGACGGACTCGTTTCCGAAATTGCCTCTTTGAAGAAAGAGAACCAGGACATCAAGAGCGAACTCGCCCAGCTCAAGAAACTCTTCGAGGAGCTTTCCGTCAAAGTTTCCAAGGTTGGTTGGCTACCTTTCTTTAATTTTTGGCTGTGATTTGCAGCATTTCTTCGATTCAGCAAAGTCTATATTAGTTTTGGGTGACGGAAATCTTTCGTTTTCTCTCGCGCTATCAAGATTATTACCTTCCGGCCATATAACTGCAACCGTTCTAGAAGATGAAGAACTGTTTTTGAACCGTTATGCAGTGTTCGATACTGTTAATCTTTTGCGACAATCCTCTAACGTAGATTTAATATTTGGAGTAGATGCCACTAAACTTCCTTCGAATTGGATTGGAAAGTTCGATATGATTATCATGAACTTTCCTCATCCGGGAGGTAAAACTAATCTTCTTAGAAGTAAGAAGTTAGCTTCCGGAATATTCCGCAGTGTCCGATCAGTACTGACGCCTGGATGTTCTTTCCATCTTTCGTTAGCTATTGGACAGTCAGGAATATCACCTGGAGATCCGTTACTCTCGGATGATCCCCCGATTCATAAGAAGGATAGTTGGCAAATTATATATCTTGCTGCTGAGCAAGGATTGGCACTCCAATCTTTAAACCCTATGACTCCTGAGCTTTATCCTGGTTATCAAGCTTCTGGATATAGGACGACAGGCAAAGGTTTCAATAACAACTGGGGTGCACAGCGATTCTGCTTCCAAGTTTCTCATATTAAGCCTAGCTTTGACCAATTAGTTTCTCCTCCACGATCTTGCAAAAAATTTAATCTTTATCTCCCATATTATTACCATGACGTTTCTTTTTTGTTTGACTGCGAAGATTCTTTGATCGATGGCTTAGAAGACATGATTTTTAAAATGCTTTACGAGCTTTCGGGTAATATGATCATCAGAATCAGTGAGTTGAATCATCTCCGTTCAATGTGCCCAGATCCCTACCTTCCCAATAGAATATATAGACTTATTTGGCAACCTTTGATTCCTATAGGAAAACTTTTGTGTAATGATATTCAAGATGAACTTCGTTTGCGAATTGTTGATTTTGTCAAGAGGAATAGATTGCCTCTTGTTTTAACATAATAAACTGTATTTCCAAAATGTATTTCATATCGTTTAGGGAGCTTCTGTAGCTGCTGCCCCTGCCGCCGCTGCTGCTCCTGCTGCTGCTGCTGCTAAGGATGACGACTTCGATCTTTTCGGATCCGAAGATGAAGAAGATGATGATGAGAAAAAGAAGGTCGTTGAGGAGCGCCTGAAGGCCTACAATGAGAAGAAGTCCAAGAAGCCCGGTGTTATCGCCAAGTCTTCCATTATCCTTGATGTCAAGCCATGGGATGATGAGACCGATCTCGGAGAGATGGAGAAACTCGTCCGTGGAATTGAAATGGACGGTCTCGTCTGGGGAGGTGGAAAGCTCATCGCTATTGGATACGGTTTGATTATCTCTCAGTAGTTTTTGTAACTTTTCTTTCTTTGCAGGAATTAAGAAGCTTCAGATCATCTGCGTTATCGAAGATCTTAAAGTTTCTGTTGACGATCTTATCGAGAAGATTACCGGTGATTTCGAAGACCACGTAAGTTTTCTATTCATTAGTAGTTTATGATTAGCATGATGTGATTGCGCAAGTTTTACTGCGGGATACTGCTCCCAATCCCTGCTTAGGATTATGACCGTAATATGCATTTGGGCTAGAGTGTCATGAATTGACAAAAATGGAATAATTAACATTTCATTATTGACAATGCGAAATTTTCATAATTACGTCGTTATTTCTTTTGACATCATTCTCTTCCAAAATACGCCGCGACTTCTCAAGGTTATCATCTTGGAAAATTGACTTGGTGCACTTTTTTCTTCGTGCTCAAGGCCCTTATTCGAATTTTTGCAATGGCACCCTATGTTTGGTAATGAGCGAAGCGGCTTTTGATTGAACATCTCATTAGGCTATGACGTTGCCACGGAAGCGGTAGAAGAAGAATATCTTTTGCTACCTCTCATCTGATATGTTGGCAATTAGATGGCATTGTTAATATCCAGGCTGTAATAAGCCTTACCGCAATATGTTTGTTTTGGATTATGCTAATCAGTTAGAACAAGGTCCTCAATCATAATCATTGACCCCCCATCTTGTAACAGATGAATCTTCATAAAGATGACGGTAGACGTTTATGCATAATTCCTGATCCTTTTGAAGAAGCAGCTGGTTAGCGGTACGCAGTGTAAAATTAATTACTAAAACCCCAGTTTTCCATAAACAAACTAGGAATTGAAAATTAGTTTTGACCTCAGTTCTTTTCTTTGGTTGTCCCTCAAAGTAGAAAACCGTTTTGGATACAAACCCCAGATCCCATTGTTGGAGAAATTTGACGAAAGTTATGACTAAGGTTTGGCAGTGATTGCATAAACCTTATACGGTGGGGTATTGTTATCATTGTGCTTATACAAAAGTGGGAGTGTGATTAATATCCTCTTGGTCTTGACTAATTCAGCATGATCAATTTCTCTTTTCATTTCATTTTATTCGTCATTTCAGGTACAATCTGTGGATATCGTTGCCTTCAACAAGATCTAAAGACATGATACAATAGTACTTCTTCGCTGTTTTTTTTTGCTCAGTTGTTACCTTTCCCTGTTCTGAAGAAGTTTCTGAAATAAATGATTATTTTGAACCCGTCTACTGTTTTTGTGTCCTGGAGTTGGAGTTGGTAGGATTAGCCTGTTGAGATTATGTTTGAGCAATTGGCTCGACCTGTGGGTCCAGCAATTTAGAGTTTCGAACAATGGCGCAGGTCTAATTAGTAGGAGAGTATGGACCCCCTGTTGGTGGCTACTGTGGGTCATGTTTCGAAGGTAGCCGACTCTAATTAGGGTTCCTGTCTTGGGAAATGAAATTACGCTTGAAATACTAGCTATTAGAAGTTGGATGACCTGTGTAAGCCGTTTAACTAACAATAGAGATTAGATCACGTATGGTTCAAAGATTCTTTCTTACACCAGCTACTGTTTTACCTTAAAGAGCCGACGAAATTCTCTAATTGGCTTATTATATAACTGCACCGGATTACAACAAGGCAAATGTATAATCAGTCTCTGTTCACGAAAAGAAAAAGTTCCTGATTCCATGTGAATGACGTGTCCCATGAAGTTTCATTTTGAAAGCAGACGAGTTGAGAGCGGTTGATCATAGTGTGATGGAGACTCTTTTTAGAATGAAATGGATTCAGAGAAATGTTCTCTGGAATTTACTTCCCCTATAAGTATTTTTCTAGTTTCTTGTTTCTTCTACCAGCTAGCCTGCTTGTATGTTGAGCTCAGAACAGAGGTATCAATAGCTAGAACGGATAGGAGACAAAGGAGTTTGTCTTCAACTTATTTGTGTGTGTCCCCTCTCTCTCTAAAGTACACAAATACTATTGGAAGGAAGTGAGCAGTAGGAGATGCGGTGACACTTTTTTGTAATTTCTTTCTTTCTGTCTCCTGTCTATTTATTTACAAAGAAAGTTATCTTATGTTGTACTAATGGACACGCAACTGTCGGCATGACCATTGGGTGAGAAGTGGATTGGCTTTATCTCACAAACAAAACCAATGAATATTCATTTGCAAGCATTTGATTATAGCCGACAACTATCTTCAATGTACTATCAATTGCCTATTTCTTTTGGAATGTTAGTCCCTAACCTGAGCAAAAGCAAATTTTTAGAACTGAGCATTCGCTACTAGAGTTTGAGAGAGAGAGAGATAGAAATAGCGAAGAGGACGGCATCAGCTCTTGTCGTTCATGGCCAAGCGCCCCAGGGCGAGCAAGAGAAATAGAGGAAAGAATGGGAATTAGATAGAGGGTGAGACGACGGAATTGTGGAAAAATAAAATGAGAACATAACGCGAACGAGGAGAGAAAGAGTAGGAAAGCTTGTTATTGCTTGCTCCGTTTTCAGAGCTAACTATGTATGGTGCTCTGTCAGCAGCTGCCTCGATTACGGTAGAAACTAGAGGCGATCCCCTCGTGAGCGGATTGAGAGCTTGGTACAGCTCCTAAATTGGTCCCGAAGTACGTTATTGGTAGACTGCCTGCTGTGATAAAGTGAGCGAGATCGGACGGCTTATTCGCATTTATAACTGCATATGACCAAGTCCCCACCAGACTCTTTTGTGATTTCTAAAATGGATTTCACGGCTTTAATTTAGAATAAAATCTAAGTGATCGCCAACGTTGTTTTGAGCCAAAAGCACGAAATGGATTAGTAAATGTGTGAAGGAAGAATGAATAAGTTCATTTGAGAAATCAAAAGTCGAATTAGAAATGAAGAAAAAGTTGTTTAATCAACGGAGTTTCGGACAGTCAATGGCAACGCTTTTTTTGGGAAAGAAGTCTAACATATCGACACAGCTTTTATTGAAACAGTTTGGTTATTTAACATTTCACGTACTTACCCCATATTTGGTTAAGATAACCGAGGAATTCATGACATCACCTTCATGCAATAGTATTAGAGAATGGTCGTTCATCATCCATTTATAGCCTGTTAGCTTCAATTTTACAGCTTCTTTTCTTACCTCTATGACGTCATCCGGTTGAGGATTAGTCTAATGCGTAACCGGTCAAGACAGATGAGGATAAGACCATCTTGTATTGAAAAAGGAAAAGTAGCACATCGTAAACTGTCATCTTTGACAGTTTTATGAGTTATGGGTGAGCCACTACAGTATTTTCACAGGTGGAACCATGCAAGTTAGCCAATATGGTTGAGGCTCAACTGTCTTCTACATCCATATGGGCTGGTAAAATGAACTGCTTGAGGATGTAATGCAATTTTCTGGCTCATTAGGCAGCCAGGTGATGTTCTTTAATAAGCACACAACACTAAATGAAAGAAGATTCCTTATGTAGCAATATTTATGTAGCAGCCGGTAGACACAATCTGTTGTTCGCTCCTCTCGTTCATGAACTGCTGAGGAAGAGTGCGAAAAAGGCTGAGAAAAGATAAAGAGAGAGAGAGCCGACTAATTATTTTTGTGTTTGTATGGATACATCTGCGACATGAAGATATTATCTGAGAAAACCCCCTTAAATGGATTGCTCAGGAACTACCGGCAGCCGCCTTTCTCACGTTTTGTTCTTTCAAGGACCTCGTACTCCTTCAATGTTTTGTCTATTATTTGTCTTTTTTGAAGAAGAACCGGCGTCAGCTCCGGCTCCCTTTTTCATGTTTTTTTGACCTCCCATTTCCTTTACTTTCTTTTATACAGTGAGTTATCTTTTCTGAAGGTTCAACCAACTGCTGACCATCATCTTCCTTCCTCTTTCTTCCCCTCTCCACGACTACTTCCGATTTGAAACAAAAGGAATAGTAAACAAAAAAAATCTTTAACATCCCCCTATATGGTTAACATCCAGAAAGTGTGATAGAATGATTGATACATGTTTTATCCTCAACTTTTTCATTCCCATATCGCTTCATAAATGGGACAAGAAACATGAATATGATTCTGAGTAATATGGAACATGCTTAGTCATATAAGGCTTGGAGACTGCGGTCCTCTCAAATATTTCTTCTTCTAGTCATTTTTTGGAAGAATAGAAACTATTCATATAATTTGACAGATAGATTTACTCATCAACAAATATCTCATACAACCCAAGAACAATTTGCATAACATTTGCCACAGGAGGGTCAACGAGAAAACCAAGACGATGACTAGTGATTGCTTTCTTTGTGAACTTTTTTTCAATAGGAAACTATGGGAACGTGAAAGACGAGTATGATAATGCGCATATAAGCACAAGGCGGCATCTTAGATCATTAAAGGACAAAACGACATTTGATTTCACCGAAGAACGGATATTCCCTGTAGCGACCAGTTGTCAGCCTTTTTTTCTGACGCAAAAACAACCATCTTCAAAGAAACCGGTAAGGTTTAAGGATGACCTGAAAGTTCCGTTACATCCGATTATGTAGCTATGTGTATGGTTCGCTGACTCAAAATACTTATAAATTTCCAATTTAAGCATAGCTTCTAAGAGGAAAACTTCCTCAAATCCTTTCTTATGCATAATGTTCTTTCTCTATTGGCCGTTGGTGAGCAAGTTGCACGATTGGCTGACTGCGGAGCAACGAGGCATCAGCGGCAACCGTTATTGAATATTCGAGAGCCTTAAACTTTTCTTACATTTTGCCTCTTTCCTCTAGTCATATCTAATGAGATATTTCGAGTTTGAGAATTAAACTTTGCTTTCACTCTCCATTCCTTCGTATTTGCTTTCAGAAAAAGATCTTATCTCACGAAAACTTACAATTTACTTGCTCATAAAAAAAGTTCCGACTTCCATTGTCGAGAAGTCACCGTGATCTTCATCGTACATCGTGAGCATCAGCCCGGTTTTGTACCCCAAAAATACATAAAGAAATACGATCCTAGTAGTTAGAGTCGTCTGAAGAGACAACGCAAAATGTTCTCGCAAAGAAGATTTGAGCAGAATTTTCGACACAGTCAGAATTCCTCAATAACAAATCAAAGATGAAGAAAAAACATTTAATTTTTCGAAGTTGTTCTTGTGAAGGTCAGTAAGCACCAATATTAGCCGCTAGACGTTTTGATTTCTTTTTTTTCTATAAAATCTGGGGTCATTTGAATACAAAGACTTGGACTTTCAAAAGGAAAACCGTTTTGAGCAGCTGATTAACAGAACGGAAGCAGCTGGAGTTTGCAGCTCTTTTGAAAAATACAGAAGGTCCCTTTGGCTACGGTCAACAGGAGCAACAAGCTGTCTGACACGGTGTCAAGAGGCGACGAGCATGTTGTTTGTCTTTGATGCGCTTACTCACGCCTTTTGCTGTCACCCGAACATGAAGATGTTGTCAATAAGAAGAAATAAAACTGTAGAAGGAGAGACAGAGAGATATGAATACAAGTAGAACATGACCATTTACCTGTTCATGCTTTAAGCAAATTTCATTCGATGTCATCCCATTTCATCTTCATCGCCTCTCCCGCAGAAACAAAACTGTAATACCAAACTCGATTAAGACAGAAGAAACATTTGATATTCAACCGCTCTGCACATGCTCACATATAACGAATAATCCACGTGGCGTGGTTTTCCACGCAATCCACGTCAAAACAAATCTTTGTTTTGCAAAATATTTTGTATTTCTCAGAAAGTTAGAGTAGTTTATGAAAACATTGAAACAACCATGGATTAGTTGGCAGAAAATCAACTGAAAGAGTCAAATTTTTGTCGTGACTCTCGTTTTTCTTTTATCTTTGAAGCTTTTGGATGCAAGCTACTGCTATGTTCAGCGATTTGAACAACAATGCAATTAAGGCTGTATTCGAAAGCATATGAGCTCTTATGCTTGAATGTGTGGGTGCTTGGTTAAGCCAGCCTTGCACATACAACAGCGGGTGGTAGATAGATGTTGGTTTTTCTCCTCTGGCTCAATCTCTCTCTCTCGAAATCTATATTTCATTACTCTGTAACTATATGAATAAAAAATAATTATATCCCCTGAACATGTTCACAGCTTACTGTTGACCTCATATCGTTTCTGTTAATCTGTTTGAAGTGAAATTGACTGACGAACGAATTCTCATATGACCAGAGGACCTTCTCCCGGCTTGCAGAATGAAGAGACAAGAAGACCTTTCACGTACTGCAAGACATTTCATATGAGGATTAATCTGTTTTCTTCAGCACCTAATGTCGATGGCAAGTATGTATCTCTCATCATGTATGATCAAATAGAATATAAAATACAAATTATTTATTGTAAATGAAGAAGTTGAAAAATATAAAAACGATGTTGATATCTCATAGAAGGTACTCTATAGGAAACAATAGAACATCCGGAGATAGGGAAGAAATATGAAAATGGAAAAACGACCCTAAGGTTGGAACTATAAATTTCTGATATTTATAAAGTCATGAATATAAGTATTTTCAAACAATCGAAACAATCTATAGATCAATGAAATGTAAGAGACACAAAGTTTTGATGTGCATCGAGGGGAAGAAAAGACGGTGCAAATACTGTACATTATGTAAAGCTATTGTACCAAAAAAATAAAAAAAGTCACATAAAACTATCACAATATACACACATATATGGACTTTTACATGAGCTAATGAATGCTGACGGACAAGTCACAGATAGATTTTGAATAATTTGTAGCTAATGTGCTTAAAAATGCAACCAGAATTTGGGACGAAACAACGACAATTCAGTTCCTGAGCTCGGAAATCTATGGGCTTTGGCACATGTTTGGAGAGAAACAGGAAAGGAGGATGAGCACATATACTGTATCAGTCGGCCATTCTATAGGTTCAGTTTTTTTTTCGTTTTTTTTTAGTTCAAGAAAAGTTTTCTTTAAGTTTTATTTTTAAAATTTAAATTAATGAGGAAGGTTAAGAACATGGCAACGTTGTTAAGTTGGAAGAGAGAGAGAGAGAGAGGGAGAGAGAGAGAAAAAGAGAGAGAGAGAGAGAGAGAGAGAGAGAGAGAGAAGGAAAGAAAACTCTTGAAAAGTAGTCGATTTCATTTTTTCATTTTGCTAACGATTGGCAAATGATTTGACCAGGACTTTGGTAATAACTGATAGTAATATTGGATAGACTGAAAAGGGAGGAAAACAACCCGCAGAGAGAAAAAATGTAATTTTCGCCCGAAGAGGTTGATGTACAGCTTTGACACAGCACTAAGGTTATGAAGTGAAACTAAAGACAGAAAGATGGAGAGAAGGATGTGTGTGAGGAAGAGAGATGAGAGTTAACTGAGAATAGTCGGCTGCACATATACATTTATTATTTTATATATAATTATACAAAAAGAACTTAAATAGGCTACTCATAAGGCAGAAGACAAGACAACGTATGTGTCTGGATATCATCTGATTTGGCTTTTTTATTAAAAAAATATGAACTTATGATGGTACATGAGGAAGTGCTCCGTTCAGTTGCTGTGGTGTTAAGCCCATAGTTTCGAGGGAATAAGTAGCCAAAGGATTAGAATACATGTATGCTGTCATGGGATCTTTGAATGGATCTTGTACCACACGTGTTGGATCAAACGCCGATGAATCGGTTAAGCCTTCGGGTGAAGCCTGAAACGGGATTGAGTTATAGCTGAATTTATCCGAAAGAGCATCTTTCGTAATGAAGGACTCATAAGGAAAAGCTAAACTAACCTCTGATTCTGGTTTCACCGTACTAGCTGGTGTGAGGTAGTTGGGATATTGAGATGTGAGAGGAGATGAATGAGAATATTGGCTAGGTGACTGTCCACCTGCATTTGTGGTGGCTGTATTGGCTCCAGTGGTATTCAGATATGGCATCTGAGACATCATGTCAAAGCCATTACTGTATAAGGTATTGTAAGCGGCTGTGGGATCGTAATAACGGCCATTGTTCCAGGTTGGCATGGGGTTATACACCTGAAATATCTACATTATACCCACTTTTAACCGAATGCTCTTTTTTTCAACTTAAGAGAGGTTGTCATAACCCAGCTTCCATAAAGTGCTCATATTGTGTGAAGCTGGGTTACGAAAATTGAAACTGTAACGAACCTGTTGCTTAATAGGGTCGAGTGCAAAGGCTCCCATCATAGGTGGTTTCTTTTGAAGAGCTTTGGTCTTACGGCGAGGTCTGTATTTGTAATCGGGATGCTCCTAAAATGATTGAAAGTTAAATAAAGTTCTAGAGCTTGTGAAGATTTTTGATTGGAGCAAATCCATGATCGGAAGAAACTAAAACTGAGAGAGGGAAGGAAAGAGAGAGTCAAATAGACAAGAAGGAAAAGGAAGGGAAGATTACGGTATCGAAGACGAAGCGAGAACGAGTAGAGGGTGGTACTGGATGACGACGATGATATCGACGACAACGAAGAAGAAAAGCAAAGAGAGAATGTAAAGAAGAGGAAACGCAGGAAACTAGACGACCCCTTGTCGAAGAATCGCTTCTCGCCGACGTCGTCGACGTTGACGACGTTGGCTCTCCAAACGAACGAAAAGAAATCGAAATGTCTACGATTCGAAGAGATTGGGCATTGTCCCGTGCTGGATGATGTAGATAAGAGAGGGTTTGAAGAGCATCCACTGTCGCCACTCATCACGTTTTCGCAACTTATTATCACCTTATATAGGATGAAGAAGAGATGTCTGCCTCATCTTTCGTTCCTCAGGCACTTCTTTCGCATTTTCGAGTGATCGTAAGAGTCTTAGAACTAGATGAGGCCTGAACCTGATGATCGGACAACAAAATGAGGAAATAGTTGCGAATGAAACGTTTAATTGGGGACAACTCCCGAGAACAGGTCAAAAAGGGTGAATGAAACCTTTAAAAGTGAGGATTTTGTTAAGAATCTTCAATTATTGAAGAAGTGAGTGGAAGGAACCTTCTGGCGGAGATTCAGAAAATGTAATTATGATTTGGATGCAACATAGCCATATCAATTAAGAAACGAAGGCATGTTGAATAGTTTTGGACTAGCTGGGGGCTATTTAAGAAAGCAGAATGAGTTTTTTACCTTCATGTGAATGGCTCGTAGTCTTTTAGCTTCATCGATAAATGGCCTTTTCTCATTTTCACTTAGTAATTTCCATTCAGTTCCGAGACGTTTCGAGATTTCAGAGTTGTGCATTTTTGGATTTTCCTGTGAACAGGCTTGTAAGAAAGAGATAATTGGAGTGATGGGTGTACCTGAGCCATTTTACGTCTCTGACCACGACTCCATACCATGAAAGCATTCATCGGCCTTTTCACTCTGAAAGAAAGAAATGTTTCAAAAAACAGAAGAAGAGAGAATATTTGGAAGTGAGGAAAGGAAATTTGACAAACAATAAAACAGGAACTTCTATCTACTTGATTGAACAAAACTAACTATTGATTATTGATTCAATATATTTGAAAGGTTTGAGCTCTCACCTGTCATCATTCTTCTTTCCATCCTTTCCAGAATCTGGTGAATCTGGTGCATCGAGATCATCATTACTAGCTGAGCTGGCAGCTTGATTAGTAAGTTGTTGAGATGTGTGACTGGCTCCTGGAGCCATAGCTGCTGTTGTTGGGAATCCCATTCCAGGCCATAATTGATATTCCATAGGTTTTAATTCTTGTGGATCCATCATAGTCATCATGGCTTACGAGTGAAAGTAAGGCTCGAAAGAGTGAAAAAGAAAGGAATTGAAAAGAGACGAAAATTATAAATTTAGCGTCTTTTAGTTAAAATATCCGAATTCTCTCTATCGTTTGTACACGTAAGTTCGAGTCTGAAGAGAAAAAGTATGTAGGAAGAACTGCATAATTAAGAAAATAAAAAGGAAACAGAAAATATCAAATGAAAGCTGATTATCTGGAGACTTGCTGAATTAAGGACGAGAGAAGAGAAGCAATGTGTGAATAGCTGGCTGGCTTATATGGGATACAAAATTGTACTATGATAGTAGTTAGATGAGAAGCAGAACATATGGATATATGAATCAGAAGTTAAATTGCTGATAAGATAATGGTTTTGCTCATTCAAGACACTTGAAGGCGTCAAAGCGAATTACTATCAATAGACACTCAAGGAACTTCTATGAATGATCTTGTTATTGGAAACAAAAGCGGAAATTGCTGAACATTGTTTTTTATCCTCAATATTAAAATGATATTGATGACCGGATGTAGAAAGACAGTTTAAAGAGAAATAAAAGAATGAAAGGAGGCATTAGTTTGACACAAAAGACACAAGAAATGGATCCACAAAAGACTGGCGTTGTCTATTGGCTAAAGAATCTATAGATGGATTGGATGTATAGACGAATTCAACATCGTCGTCGACGATGTCGACGATGTGCTGAACACGACCACTAGCCTCGATAGACACAATAGATGAGCGCCGCCTGAGTGCACCCTGCCGAGAGCGGGGGCGTGTCTGGCCAATTGCAGGGCCGCCTCGGGGCGGGGTTACCGTCACCGACCACGCCCATGCTGGCCCGCCGCTGGCATGGGAATGTCGAGACGGACGTCGACAGACAACACGTGGACAATCTGCTTAATACAGGAAAAGAGCCGGAGGAAGGATTCAGAAGATTAAGAAGTCTGCCTGAAAAGGCTCATTACAGTTAGCTGGACAGAGAGATATGAGCAATCATAGGAATGACTGGCAACAGGTGCGTTACGCAAGCTTGATCGACCGCGAAGGGACAGTGGCCGGTATTAGTCCAGCTGGTTCTACATGAAGTCAAAACAGTGATACAGAGAGAAATAGAACTATTACAGAGAGAAAGAAGTAAGAGAGAGAGGTAGCGAGAGAGAGAGAGAGAAAATATAAAAAGAGTTAGTAAAGAGAGAAACAGTTAAAAGGCTGTATTGGCAGTAGAGGTGCGTCTGTTAATTGCGATACAATTTGTGAAGTTGTGACAGTTAAGTTCGTGAAAATAATATTGAAATGAATAAGAATTGGCAATATTGATAGAGAAAACGATGGAAAACAAAGAGAATGAAACTTTGTAAAAGACAAGATAGGATGAATCAATGGAAAACTATGGACGATGTGTTAGGAGCAAAGCAATAGAGGGAAACTTGGAGAAAGTGGAGGAGGATATAGAGAAGAGGAAATAAAGAAAAAGGTGAAGTTAAATGTCAGCTTATGCTATTCTTTCTGAGAAAGAGTGTAGAAGGATAAAGCTTGATAATTCAGCGGATTATCAAGCAATGTTTCTCAAAAAGCTGTAAAGTGAACATTCTCGAGATGTGCAAGTTTTTTATAATCGAGATTTGCTGGCATCAGAAGGAAGAAAACTGAATAACCATGGAAAGCAACTTTTTTTTCGGAAGCAGAAAGAAAAAGAGATAATGGACGACCTTAAGGTCTCTCTGAAGATAAGTTTTTAAGTAGCGCTATTGAACATGTGAGAATGGGTAGGTGAGTGAAGGAGGACGGGATTCAGAGGTGTGAACTGGTTGCTGCCTGGCTGGGCTGGTTGGTTCGGCCTGGCATGATGGTAGTAGCATTGGAGAATGGCTATGGAAGTGGAGCATGCTGGAAGAGAGTGCTAGCAAGAACGAAAGAAAGATTGCGGCGAGGAAAGAGAGATAAAAAGAATTGGTAGAAGATCGTGAACTACAAAGACAACGATATTTCATAGTTTTGAATAAATGATTTCTGGAGAAAAGGTAATCTGAACAAGATGATAGAGGTATTGGATGTCAAGAAATGTAGATGTTCTCATCTCTTTGCTCCTTCCTTTACGACGTCTACCATTTCTACTGGCTGCCTCCTACTCAATTCTTTCACAGTTCTCTGTATATGTTCCTGTGTACACAGAAGAAAGAGAGAAGAAGAGAGAGAGGAAAGATCGAGTAAAGTAGAAGAGTAATGGAAATGAAAAATGCTTCTTCACTTCTTTCCTTCTCACTTTCCTAACATCGTGTACATACGATGTTAGCGGGAGAATATCGTTTCTCTTACCATTTCGGCGAGAAGCAACAGCATGTCGGAAGCAAGCACGAACAAGAGCTCAAATAACGTGAGTTTTTGCCTGAAGCTCTAGCGTGCACACATATTTCAAGTAGAACAGCAGTTGTGAAGATTTTAAGAAGATGTGGGAGGTACGAATTCTGACATGGCTAAGCCTCGAGGTGTCTGTGGACGCCGTCGTGACTGTTGTTGTTGCGTCGTCCACGACGACGAAAACTACGATGATGATGACGACTTGCTCACTCTTTCCTTTTCATTCATACGAACTCCCTTCCTCTCTGTCCCTCTCTTTTCTTGCATTCCCTAATTTCTGTTTCTCTTTTCTGTGTATTTCTGAAAGTCGTCGGCAGAATCGACATAGAAGCTGGAAAACAAGATTCTGCGACGAAAATACGTCCGGAAATTGGAATATATGAACAGAAGACGATTGGGATACTGAACTATCCACATGAAAATTTAGTCAAAAGTCATATGCTTTTCAATGAATTCACCTTTCAGTGGAAGCTTAATAGGAATGGCAGAATGCAGGTTTGTCCTCTAATCCATACAAAGGTTTATCGGATAATAAGGGCCGAACACCCACTTTTCCAAGATACTTCATTCTATCATTCTCTTTGACTGAGGTTCAGATATGAAAAAAGATCTCAGAAATGCTAGATAACTCTCGTCTCCTGCATCAAGCTCACAAATTCATTTTTTGATGACTTTCAGTCGTTCTACACATGATGTTCTGAATCATTCCTAGCAGATAGCTGAAATACCAAGAAGAAAAGGAAAAAGATCAACTAAATCCCCTGCAAAAAAGTTTTCAACAAAAAATATGATGAGAGGATTCGACCAAAAACTAAAATGAAGAAGTGCGGAAAGGATTTTTTCGTTGTTGCCTTGCCAGAAGTAATAACCAAAACATCTGTGAGGAGATTAGAAATGAAAACACCTGAAGCATTTTCTACAATATCTCATACAGAGTTACTCCAAACAGATACTTGGGGTTTGAAATCGTTTAAACTATTCTCAAGATTCGATATAAATATTTTAATGACATCTATGGGCAGAAGCAGTCAGTCTGTGTGTATGTTGGGAGCTCTATCCTTCTTCACCATTAACCGGATTGCCTACTTACTAGAAAGAAGACAATAGTAGATACATACATACTAATAAGGAGCCTAAAAACCTCTTCAAGGTCTTCTTAAGTGAGATGCAACATAAGGCTGAAGAAGATAGATCAAGAGACAGCGATTGAAGCCTTCATGCCGTCCGTATGTGTGGACGAATGAATACATGTAGCTTTTAAATGTTTTTGTTAACAAGAGACCCGCTTAATGGATGAAACTCTTGACCTCTTGCATTCATCATATGTTCTAGGAAGTGTTATTTAGTCTAATTAGAATATTTGTAATACATCTACGTGATACTTCCTACGAGTCAAAACGTGAAGCGTCCGCTATTCATTTCAAACGTGCAACGCGCACAGAGCGGTTGATCTTCTTTTCTTCTCACTCTCGACCTCCGTTTTTTTAATTCTTTTTCTCTTCCTACCCTTTCTCTCTCTCTCTCTCAAACATCTATGTTTCTTTTTAAATCTTTCCGTTCACATTTGTCAGGTAATTGAGAAGAGGTCGACAGAATCGTGTGCTGGCTGACGATTTCTTTTATTAAAACTAAATAAAAGAGGAAGGAATTGAATAGAAAGTTGCGCAAGACAGCTATAAAATCATTTCACGTACACGTTCATCTATCATTATTAAACATAAAATGAACGTATATATCCAAGTATTTGCTTCTATTTTTGGTTGAAAGAAAGAAGTTTTTTAATTAAGTCAAAACACTACCAAGATGTCTGGTTATAATACTACATTCCTCATTCTACTTCCACTGAAAACATCCTCTGGATAATTTCATTATGAAAGAGAGAAGAAGGTCAAAAAAGTTTAGAAAATGATGAACTTTTCAGGCTCAACTTGATAATACTGAATAACATGATTCTGTATAATACCTGCGGTATCAAACGTTTACTAAATGAGGTAATAAGCTCAGAAGAGCAGGAAATGAGAGGATAGAGTTGAATTGCGTGGGAAAAAATCTTTTTTTCTCGAATGGAGGGAAGAGAGCAAAGGAGATTTCCAAAAATATAAATTGAACGTTAAACATTCAGAATAAAGAATAGAGTTGAAAGCGGGGTGATAAAGCTTGTCATATCGTCAACAGGATGATACATCTGAAACGTCAGGGATCATAAGCCATTTGACAAGGAAAGTTGATGAGTTGAGAGAAATATTCTTGTGTTAGTTGTCATCAAATTTTACTTACATAGACATACATACACATACTGAATACATACACACAAATGAACAAAAGAAAGAATGAAGTAAGAAAGATATCTGACAGGACGTGTAAGAATCTGGAGAGAACAGAACAGACAAAGAAATAATCAAACATACAACTATATTTATATTAATATGTATATAGATAGATTGACAGATAGTGAGATTTCCGTAGATACACGTCCATTTTTAACTTTGCTTCTCTTTCTTACCCTCACTCTCCCTTCCATTTCTCTCTCTGTCTATCTCTCTCTCAACATTTTTCTACAACAAACTTTTCTTTCTTCTCCCGTATATGCATGCCGACAACCAATTTTGAAGTTAAAATGAAGAGAGTGTGATTGATCAA